CTCATGTCTATCTCCATTTCCCGGCGTAATGTATTCTTTGGTCTTCCTCTCTTCCTTCGACCTTGAGGGTTCCATATGAGGGCTTGTCTTGTGACGCAGTTCGGTGTTTTCCTCAATGTGTGTCCTATCCACTTCCAGCGCTTCTTCCTGATTTCTTCCTCCACTGGGATCTGATTTGTTCTCTCCCACAGTAGGTTGTTGCTTATAGTGTTCGGCCAGCGGATCTGAAGTATTTTGCGTAGACAACTGTTAATAAACACCTGTATCTTCTGGATGATGGATTTCGTAGTTTTCCAGGTTTCCGCGCCATACATTAGAACTGTCTCGACATTTGTATTGAAAATTCCGGCTTTGGTGTTGGTTGCCAATTGTTTTGAGTTCCAGATGTTGTTCAGATGTAAATATGCTGCTCTTGCTTTGCCAATCCGTGCCTTCACATCTGCATCAGATCCACCATGTTCATCAATGATACTGCCCAAATATGTAAAGGTTTTTACATCTTCCAAAGCTTCTCCGTCAATTGTGATTGGATTGGTACATGTTGTGTTGTATCGAAGAATCTGGCTTTTCCCTTTGTGTATATTGAGACCTATTGCTGCTGAGGCTGCAGCTACACTGGTTGTCTTCTCCTGCATTTGTTGTTGTGTATGCGATAGAAGAGCCAGATCATCTGCGAAGTCTAGATCATCCACTGTATCCCGTGCTTCCCTTCAGATGTTGATGTCTTCATGATCCAGTCGATCACCAGGAGAAAGAGAAATGGTGAGAGTAAGCAACCTTGCCTGACACCGGTGATATAGAGCCTAAATACTAATAACAATAATTAATGAAATAGTTACTCACAACCAGGGTTACCACCCAACGTACAGCTTTGTAATTCCTCATGATGTTATATTATTTTTCCTGAATCGGTTCTCCAAGCTTCATACGGGGCTACAGTTTATCCTCCGAATTCTGATCAAGTGTTGCTTGCAAACTTGGTTACAATATTCCGAACTTTTGTCTTTAAACTTCACTGCTCATCATTGCGCACAACACTCACAAATCGCTATGAAAGGCTCCCAAATGTGCGGAACCTAGCTCACACTACAAACTGTCATTTTAGAATATTAAAGATTCCCATTGTAAAAATTAGAACAACACATATAAGCAAACGTATGACCTATAGAGACTATTGAGTTTATACGCAAGCTAATAACAGAAAAAAAATCAATACTGGTTTGCCTGAAGATAGTCTAAAGAAACTACTCCTAAGATGCACGCAGAATGTTTATTTTGTCCTCAACAATACATATAATAGACAAATAGACGGGATAGCCATGGACTCACATCTAGGCCTCATTTTAGCTGATCTCTTACTAGCAAAGCTAGAAAAGAGACATCTAAATGAGACTATAAAAAATCTTGATTTATATTGCCGCTACATTAACTACACTTTCATTATCGTAGATAATGAAGCCAGTAAAGAGAAACTCATAGAACAATTTAACAATGTTCGCTCAGCGATCGGTATCACTGGTGAAAGCGACTATAAATAAAAATCGATTACTTGGAAACTGTTCAGGGACGTTATGTGAGAAAGAGCGTCTGCAACTACATTTTTTCCTCCAGAAATGTGTAGAATGTCTGAAGTAAACTGCGAAATATAGTCTAGTTGTAGAGACTCACGAGGTGAGTACTTGTCTGAAGAAGAGCTTAAAGAAAAATTAAGAGGTTTATGGTCAGTAAAAAGGGTGAATTCTCGGCCTTCGATAGAGTGTTGAAAGTGCCGTACAGCACACTACATAGCTAGGAGTTCCCTACCGAAAGTGCTGTGCCTCGATTCAGTGTCTAGCAACCGTCTAGAGAAAAATGCCAAAGGTTGCCAGGAATGGTTAACCGATTGTTGTAAGACTCCTCCGATTGCTGAGTCGGGTGCGTCTACTGCGATACTAATGGACACTTGAGTGTCCTGATGTGCGAGCATGATTGCCTTTGCTATAAGTTCCTTAACTCTAGAGAATGCTTGTCACGTGGTATCGTCCAAATTGATGGATTATGCATTTCCACGAAGTTGGTCGGTTAGCGGTGGAATGGTTGATTATCCACCCCTTTAGTCCGCATTTTATAACAGAATGAATGTTTTAAAAAACCCTTCAAAGTAACTTATTTAACAGAATTGCTATTTCCAGTGAAATTTTCTCCTTGTTTTGTAGGTCGCCTCTTCTTCGGAATCTGTATAAGCAATTCTCAACATTTCTCGTTCACTTCTGGCTAAACCCTAACTATTTGACTGTGGCTAGAATTTGTTTTTAACATTTCACGTTTTTATTATATGATAACAGACATAGTCAACTAAGGTCTTGTTTGGCTGAAATTAAAATCATTGTTTCTTGTTGGCTCTGTTGAAAACACATTTTGTTTAACTTGATACTTGCAGACAGAATTCGATTCATTTTTTGTCGGGATTATTTCTGTTAATTTTCTGGTACTTAATAATTGAGTTTGTTACCCTTTTCGCTAGCACGTCGCTTTGTATCATATGACATTTCGAATGGTTAGTAGTTGAGCTTCATTGCACAAGCATTTCGAGTTTTCCGATGTAACTTTTCGTTATTGTCTATCACTAAAAATATTACACAGAATATTTACTTCGACGAATATCATGACTGTGTAGTGATCTACTTTTGTGAAGAGAACGCGATTGGTGTAATGGAAACATTTATTATTATAACCAACTGTACCAGTGATTGTTTTATTGTACCTTTTTATTTAATTAAACTAAAAAACAGACTTTCTCCGTTGTTTTTGACCTCGAACTTACTCACGCACGCACGGAAGTATCGCCTGTAAGTTTTGGCAGGATCTCAGTATTATTTCGATACCACGAGATTCCCAACTACAATCTACAACTGTCCTTCCAATATTTATCATGCGGAGGGATTTAATCTGGTAATTGGCACGTAATCGATCTGTAGTGGTGATCATAGTCAACTGCGACTGGACACTGATACAAGATATTTTGAATCATCTAGTCACATCATGCAAACTTCACAGCATTGATCTTGGTATATCATTTTAGTAGCATAGATAAGTGCATTATTAAGTATTTTTGAAAATCAATCTAGTTAAAGGGTATAAACGAACTCCTATGGTTTCAGACGACATTTCTAAAACCACTGCCGTTACTCTCTTAGGAATACACATGCTTTTGTGCATTCCTATCAGTTTAAGAAATGCTGCCGTGGTACTTGTACGAATTAATGATTTCCTTGTACTGAATTGCCCTCTGGTTACGAGTCACAAATATATTACGTTCATTTGTGCTCATCTAGTTCTACCTGCTTCAAATTGCTCTATCGTGGGAGCTCTTTGCAAGTTCATCATTTTTCATAAAACTATTCGTCAGGACAATCAGGAGGTTAGGGAATTTATACTTGAATTGCAGAAACAAGCTGCCAAGTGTGATAAGTGATCAATTTCGTGTGCACAATCACGATCTGCTAATTTGTCGAACGAAGTTGAGACCTCGAAAAACGTTATCTGTAAACCTTTGGAATGTTTGGGCAGCATTTCTTAGGCCGAAAGGCCTATGCGAAAATTCGTAAAGTCCGAAGGGAGATATAACAGCGGTTTTCAGAATTTGGTTATAAGCTTTAACCAAGTCGATTTTCGAAAATACAGTTGTACCTTTCAAGGTAGCTGTGAAGTTGTGAATGTGGAGCAACGGGTTTGTATTCAATCACCGACAGTCACCAGTTGGACGCCAATCGTTGTTGTCCTTTTCAGAGACCGTGTGCGACGGAGATACCTATGGGCGGTTTGACGGTCGAATGATTCCCAACTCTATCATCATGTGATGGAATTCGTTTCTGGTCAACCTCAGCTTTTCGGGAGCCAGTCGGCGCGCTTTCGAGAAGACAGGTGGTACTGTAGTCGTGATGTGATGTGTAACATTGTTGGTTACACATGGCGATTTCGGTTGCGGTCGGTATATCCCAGAATACTTATCGAGTAATTGTTTATAGAATGGATCTATCATGTGTCCAGCTCTGATAAGTGATAATCTGCAACCGGAAAAAGAAGTTACGCAAACAGATAAATTAGTATTTCCGTCTATGGTCGTTACGAAATCTATGATAACCTGTGAGCGTATGACATAGTTCTGTCATGCCGCTTGTTGTCGCTTGAGGCTTTTCTTTGACTGAAAAAGTAGTAACATTTTCTAGTATGAATCGTACCCACTAAGTGAAATCGAAAGACAGAAGCGAGGATGTTCGAAGATATATTTGATAGGCTATCAATATATCGAGGATCGACTGATCTAATCTGGCTAGCGATTGCAGGGGATATTGAGCGTTCCACCTGTGATCCGGTGCAGATGCATAACCGAGCGCCTTAAACCAGGTAGGTCCATTGAGACTAATGTTTCAGCATCCAATGTCGAACACTTACAGAGCTATTTATTTCGCGGATTTAGTTATCGCTACAACGCATTTGGAAATACACTAAATAAATTTATCACAATATCTTACTAAGATACTATTCAACCCTGGCTTTTAGAAGCTTAGCTTAGCTAACTTAAGGATTTAAGTGGGCAGTATATCGCCGCACCTGAATCCGTGTAGATTCGAATTAACAGATGTTAATCAATACTAAGTTGTATACTGACTACAAAAATTTGCATGGAGCAAGATCTTTACATTGATCCCTTCTACTTAATCATTCAGTTAATTCGTTTTTCTGCTGCTAGAATCAATTTAAAGTGAACTTCGATGATGTCAGGAGCAGAGATAACAGAGTTATTGTAATTATTTTATCCAGCTGGATAAAATAATGCACTAGTGCATAAAACTCGAAACTGGCAACATCAAGTTACCGAAATCATACTGACAAAATTCCACTGTGTGACTGTATTAACCTCTTCACAAGTTGGCAGACATTTAAAATTCCCTGGGTGAGTCACTTAGTTCATTGTAAAGTCATATGTTTTGTTTAAATTACCTATTTCTCATCTCACTGTGGCGGTACATAGCCTTCATTTTCGTGTCTCAGATTCTTGGTGTTCTATCATTCTCGGTTTACTCGTTTGTACCACTATCATTCTTATCGTCTTTTATATATAAAAGCTCACTACTTGCTTTTCCTGTCAATGACGGTTTCCAACATATGTTTTTGGCCACATCAGAGATCCGTTTGACATACAGTTCTACAAATGTGTATCATTAATGTTAGCATGACAAATATCTTACTCAAAATCAGCTCGGAAATAATTAGCTTTACAATTTTTGTCATTTTACCGGCTTTTGACTCATAATTGAGACATTTTGCTGTGGTTATAGTTTCAGATTAGTTCACGCACACAATGCCGCTCGAATTATTCTAAATCGTTTTGTAAGTGGTTTCTTTGACGTAATGTAGTCCGTAGAATAAATGTTGCTTTTATTCCGAATTCATAGTATTTAATGTCAATTTAATTTACATCACTAGTCACTTATCTCATTAAGCTGCCTCGGTGAGAAGTGTGGCAGTTACACATTATTATACTGAACGAACCACAAATCACGTCCTGTGTCACTCAGTGCAGACTCATCCAAACTGTTGTAGAAGGGACTAAAGGATCCTCAGCATAGATGTCTTCCGTATCTAGCAGCATTAGGTCACTGGTTCCTTCAAGCAGGGTCCTATTTTCATTTGACACTAGAAAAATAAATTACATGAAGTACTATCCTAACTCACCAGGGATATATAAAGTTTAATCGTGAAGAACGTCCAAGCTTTATGGACCACCTTATCAGGCAACAAACCAACACTTGACTACTCGTAAAGAGGTGTGCCTCCAGTTTAGTCTACTGTGTTGTGCTCTAACTCACGAGTATACCCTAAAATCTGCGTTAGGACAGCTCAAGTAGGGGACGTATGTTTATTACATTCAGGGGTGTCGCCACGATCAAAGTCGCTCCTTGGTATGGCAAAGCAAAACATTTTGGCCAGATGAGTTCTTGTTTAGATTCTGAAGTCCCCGACTTGGCTTGAACTATGCTCCTGAATTTTATTCCTAAAAATGAGAGTTTTAATCATGATATAATTAGAAGAATGGGAACAGTTCTTTGCTATCATGATTTTCATCTTTTACAGACACCTCTCCAGTGATTCATACGGTTACAATAGGATGAAAAGTCATTTCTCTTGAGTCAGCCATCCACTGCTTTGTTTCTAGTAGTTGTAGTTCGTTCATTGATCGTCAATTCGCTAGCATATTCATGCGTTAGTATGGCAAGCTGTTGCGACATACGTTAAGGGGTAAAAGACTGATCGTAGTGGCTCCTTGATTTTTTAAGTTGCTAAATTCAGTAGGATTTACTTGGATAAAGGTTTGTACATTGTAACGGGACATGCCTACAAACGACAGGAGTTCTGATACTGATCACTTCTGTATTTGTTAACGGTCGACCGTAAATAAAACCTGTTCCTGTCAAGTTAATTCACTCGTTTCTTGCTTTGGCACCCTAAAACTTCACATCTGAGTAAACTTTCAGTCTAGTAGGTGCTTTGTATGGAAACGTAGCAAAAGCATTCTGTCCACTTTGGGTGTTAGTCGTTATTACCTCTTGTATCGTGATTGTGTGCAGGTCCATAGTTCGTTTCAGATTTGACGGATATAATAGATCCACTAGTTCCCACTCAAAACATAGTTTCGTATTTATTTTTAAAATAAAGTAGTTTTTACGTTTTTTTGTTTTAATTTTTAGGAAGCTAAATCATATTACTTTCAATCTCCACATAATAATAGTGCATTCCAGACCATTAGAATGAATTCTAAGGTATTATTCATTATTATATAATCGTACCTCAGAGCGATATGCGTGCCCCTAAACCCCCCAAACCTCCTGAAAAACCATTGATGCCATACATGCGCTATAGCCGAAAGGTTTGGGAACAAGTCAAAAACTCGAATCCACATCTCAAGTTGTGGGAAGTTGGAAAAATTATTGGGCAAATGTGGCGTGAGCTTCCTGATGATGAAAAAATACTATATGTCGAAGAGTACGATGCCGAAAAAATCCAATACACGGAATTACTACGGCAGTACCATAGTTCGCCAGCATATCAGGCTTGGTTGGTAGCAAAGGAAAGAGGTATTGTATTTTAATAACTTCCACTATTATTATTTAGCTGAGAAAAGCACGGAAGAACAAGACCAGGAGCGCAGGCAATCAATTTTAAGGTCGAGAGATCGTGGAAATGAACTCCCTCAGGGTGATTTGAGGGAGTCATATATACTGGAAGATAACGAAGAAGGTAATCTTTGTTTCTTATATCGTGGATTCAACTTGCATTGGATATGAGCGTCAAAATATGCTAAGCGATTTCACGTGGTAACACACTACTATTAGTAGTAATGCGTTGGATCTGCGCGTTTCAAACTTCGTGCCCTCAATTTAAAACCAGTGAGCAAGATATTGTGCCATTTTAGGGTGTAACTTTTGTAGCCCTCTTCTTTCACTGAGAAGAGAGCGTCGTTGAAGGTACTGATTGTCCAAGTAAAGCACCTTATTGCCATTGCATCTAAACGGTTAGTCGTAAGATTTCACCCTCAGACCTTTGCTGCTTTTATTTCATCTGCTCTCAAATCATTCTGTCTGACGTTGTAGGACCTAAGGATTGGACGTTGCAAGTAATACAGCTCGATTAAGTCATCACAATATGCAAGCTGTACCACCAACTTAAGGTAATTTCTACTCAGTCAGTCCGCTACAACGTAGGACCAAGCACATATGCATCGGTCCAAGTTGCCATACCTCATTAGCACAACAAGATGAACACCGGATTCATAGTAGCTAAGTCAATGTTTGTTATATATAAAGAAAGATTGGATATAAGGATATAGCACAGGGAGAAAAATTTAGTACGTAGAAAAAAATTGAGGCGATTTTAATCTCTTAGTTTAAAGGAAGACAGAGTGTATACACCGACGCCATTGTGATCGATTCTGAGCCATGTCACCAAGAGTCTCCAACCATTGGTTACGGTAGTCACGCGGACCCCAACTAAGTAGTTTGCATCTACCAACATAACTCAGACCAGAAGTTAGTGACTTCAAGCACTGTTTTTGATCTTGTGCCGCTGTATTATGGCAGTTTAACATAAATTTGTACCAAGTTGTACGTTGATTATGAAAGATTGATAGTTTGTATTTGTGCAATGTCCGTGAGCATGATCCGACCTTGGAAATATTACGAATATTTATATATAACGAACCTACTTTTTACTTGAATGTTTCTTTTCATCATAGATACTGAAGACCAATTCACTGCGAAGCATGTAGCAGCCGCTCGTTTCCAGAGAAACCATCGTCTCATGCAAGAAGTTTTAAGTGATACGAGACTTCCTGATCCTGGTCAACTAATCACCCAAAGCCGTCTTAACACTCTGCGTCTGCAAGTAGAGCAACTGAAAAACCACAAGCGCAATTTATGTCAAGAGATTGAAGGGTGCGAAGCAAGACATCAAGCCAAAGTGCAGCGCATTCGTGAAGAATCGGAACGTTTTCGATTAGACTATCAAAAAATAACGACAACAAGACCAGTTATCACTGAGTCTCAGTTTGCCGATATGATAATTAAAGCAAAATACGATATGCAGCGTGAAGAAGAGGAGCGTAAGACTCGTTATTTGGCGGAATTAGAAATCAGACGCAAGCGTCAACAGCAGCGGCAGCAGAGAGAAGCGGAGTTACTGGAATCTGAACGCAGACGTCAATTACTACACCAACAACAGTTGCAGCAAGTTCATATGAGACCAAATCAGGCAGCCCCGCCGCACAATGATCCGAATATTCAATTTAGTGACCGCTCATTAGAAAGACTGATAGCGCAGGTATTTACGTTATCAAAATCATTCTGAATTTTCACCTTTGTTTCTAACCTAACTAATTCCGTTATTATCGTATACCTCGTGTATTTACATACCTGTCGTTGACTGTTCACTTGGCTTCAGTTTCCGAATCGAGTAAAAGCTGTTTTAGGGTATCCAGATATAAAAAAGACCGGTCCGTTACCAAACATTTTGAAAATAACATCTGGTTTCCAGGTAAATGTTCATCGGAATTCTTTTTGCTTCATCCATCTGTGAACTCTACTGTTTGATCGGAATTTGTTTATCGATTTCATACACTAGCCCTCTAAGTCACAGTAATAATCGGTCGACACCAGATCCGTCCAGTAATTGCAAAGGTTTTATTGCTTGGTTATCTATGTCCACTTTAATGTCCTCGGTAGACTTATTACATGGAAATTGTAGTATCATACACTATATTGAATTTCCGAGATTCTCATTATTTGATTCGAGTGACTAGTATTCCCCAACACGAATCGCTTCTCTTATTTATGTAATAATTTGATCGACTTACTTGCGACATGATCTTGGAAGTCTGATCAGCCCTAATGGGTTGGTGTCTGACGAAATCTCAGCACGGATTCGAAAAGCTCGCTTGGCCTTTGCCAACTTACGTCATCTATGGCGAAGGCGAGATATCCGTCTATCAATTAAGGGACGAGTATACTGCGCGGCAGTTCGTTCCGTTCTACTATACGGCTGCGAAACTTGGCCTTTAAGAGTAGAAGATATTCGTAAGTTACTAGTATTTGACCACAGATGCCTTAGAAATATTGCGGGTATCTGCTGGGATCACCGGGTAAGTAATAGTGAGGTTAGTTGAAGGTTATTAGGGAATGATGGTAAGTCAGTTGATGAGGTTATGAACCTTCATCGACTGAGATGGTTGGGCCACGTGTTGCGTATGCCTGAACACCGATTACCACGACGCGCAATGGTAACTGGTGTTAGGGATGATTGGAAGAAAGTTAGGGGCGGCCAAACCAAATCGTGGCATCAGTGCTTCAAGTCAATAACTTCTGGTCTGAGCCATGTTGGAAGATTCAGACTACTTGGTTGGGGTCCGCGTGACTATCGTAACCAATGGTTGGAGACTCTTGGTGACATGGCTCAGAATCGATCACAATGGCGTCGGTGTATTCACTCTCTGTCTTCCTTTAAACTAAGAGATTAAAATCACTTCAAATCTTTCTTTCTACGAACTAATTCTATCTTCCTGTACTATCTCCTTATATGCAATCCTTCTTCTATATATTACCACCACTGAATTAACTACTCCTATGAATCCAGTGTTCATCTTGTTGTGCTAATGTGGTATGGCAACATGGACCGATGCATATACGTGCCTGGTCCTACGTTGCAGCTGACTGACTGACCTGTTAATGGTGGCAATTTTAATGATATTAAATATATATTTGATTGTAGATCGTTCAAAACATCATGCTTCATGTGCAAGCCTTTATTTAGTCTTTGCCTGTGTTTTATATGCATTCTTTTTGTCAGTTAATTGGTCCTCTTAAGTTTTTAAAACAAATAATATATTGATTTATTACAGTATCAATGACCCGGACTGAATGTTTATAAAATCGTCTTTGTTTTCTGTTTACCTCTTGTTCATCGGTTGTTCTACTCAGTACATCTTGTTTTGTTCAGTCAATGTTCTGTAGTCACACTTAAATGATAAATTTCTTGATAAGTATTATTTGAACACTTTTTGGACATAATGATTTACGTCAATGTTTATATATATCGACTGTTAACTGTTTTTATTAGGACAAAAGAGAAGATACGAGTTCACAACCCCCACAAAAGTTGCCTTCTGCTTCAGCCAATTTATTGTGTCCTACAAATCATCCAAAAGCAGCTCCAGAAATTGGACATGAAATCAACACAGGGTTGTATGCTGGAATAGGAAATACATTCACACAACCAGTCACTCAAAGTTCATCGCAAAGGTTTCCTCAGTCCGGTCATACCCAACACCACTATCCACCCCCATTACATTATGTACCCAACGCCGTGACGCCGGCAAATCCACCCGTTTTAATTCATCAGCGTAGTCCGGTCCCAAACATACAACAAGCAGCACAAAATAACACAGGTAAACCAAATGCAGTATCTTTAGGCCGTACCAAAAAAGTTCCTTCATCTGCATCTTCTACTTCATCAGCCTCTTCTGCTTCATCAACATCGTCAAAAAAGAAAAAGGTTGATTCAGACCTTGTTAAAGATGCTGCTGTAACCACAACTAGTCAGGATATGCGAGAACGACCTATTTCTCGTTCTGGCGAAGGAGTAGTCGATCAAACTAAACCTGGTGACTTTGGTATGACTCCTGGACAGTCCAACGAATTTCAGCAAGGGTCTACAACCCAGCCAAGGCAACTCATAACTTCTCAATATCAACAAGCCCCAGCTCCTGCTAACCCCGTCGTTCCAGCGCAAATTTCGGGGGGGCCGGTGCAGACACCCTACTGCTACGAAATTGGCATTGGGAATCCATCGAACCCCACTTTGTCTGCTGGCAGTTATTATCATCAACCTGTCTCCGTTTCTAATCCTGTGGGCTACTCTCATCCTCGCCCTCAGTTTTCACAACACACTCCCTACAATGCCGTACAGTATCATTCGGTTCCACCACAACCGTCTGCGGAGCATCCACCTCCCCCACCAATGTATATTCAGCACATGCCACAACAGTCTCATGTTCCTCAGCTCGTCCCACCGATGGTAGGTCCCACTCAACATCCTTCAAGTCATATTCCACCTCAGCAACACAACTCAAATAACTGGCATCATGGTGGCCCACCACCGTATTCACCACATTATGGTCCTCCGCGTTACCCAGTCTTGGGTGGATCAGTGGGATACCCAATGCAGACTCCGAGAAATTTCGGTCCCAATTCCAGCGGTTATTCAATGCCTCACTATCTTGTTGGTCAACACGGCCCTCAAACTCATCCACACCAAAATATTTCATCAGTACCTGTTTCTATGCAGGACAGTCCTGCTGCTCCCCAGCCAATTCCAGCACCACCACCTTATCAACAACAGCAGCAGCCAAATTCTGTCGTCAGTTATTGGCCTACACAACAACAGGTACCCCCAGACTATGTTCAGAGTCAACATCCGTCTCATTACATGCCTGGATCCCAGACTGAGTCAGTCGTTCCAAGTCAACAAACTCTGTCATCTGTTGATAACGTCCATCCGTGCTCTACTATGTCGGTGTCTTCTGCGGACGTTGGTATGGGTCAGATGGTATCTAACCAGTCTCAAGGAGCCAATATTTATTATCAAGGTAGATGCTTTTCCTATGTGTTTATACAGTTCAGTAAAATAGACTGAATTATTTCACTGTCTTGAAACCTTTACAAATTGAATCTTAGGTTGCCTATACATAGACTTTGGTTTCAGTATCAGATAGAGAGCTTTCTAATTCAACGTCTACCATAGCTAAAGTTATAAAGCCACTTATAAAAATTAAACGCAGCATGTTGATACAAGTTTCACACTTTCTCTGTAAGCCATACATGACACCTTCCCTTCATAGAAGTAGTAAGTATTATTCGTATTCAATAATTGTACCAACTGATGAGACTGCTCGAAAGCATGAGTAGTTACTAATTATAATAATGTGGATCTCAGATGTTTGAAATACACAGAAGGATTATATTTGTAAACTAATTTAGGATCTGTAGCTCCAAGGATTGATATAATGAGGTATAATGTATATACTAAAAATGTGCAACGCAAGTTTAGTACATCTTTCAGTTTTTATTTTACTATGAAACAGGTATCGGATATACTCATCAAAGATGAGATTTGTCCATACATTTTTTATCATTTCAGTCCGGTTTTATCTGTAATTGACAACAAGATGTATTCGACATAGTCATGTTTTTGTCGTAAGTTTTATCTACCAAGTTAAAAATTACCCTTAATCATTTATCAGTTCTCATCGGTAGTAGTTTTTTATGTTCAAATCAGCACTCATATTGAAGTGTAAATAATCTACTACACCAAGTTCTTACCTTATCTGACTGCGAAAAGTAGTTCAGCTTTGAGATAATTCTCTTTGCGAATTGACATTAGATGGGGAAATATTGGGCTAATCTCCGCAACAAACTACCTAAACAGCAATCTCGTCCTCATTAGTGCTTAATATTAAGTTAATTCTCATAATTTGAAAAATTCTCATGTTGTGATTTAGAACATATATAAGCGAACAGTATTGTTTTCGATTAAATCCTCACCAGGCTTTACTCTAATATTACTTACTTGCACCTGTTACTCCTAATGGAGCATAGGCCGCCGACCAGCATTCTCCAACCCACTCTGTCCTGGGCCTTCTTTTCTAGTTCCATCCAATCCTTGTTCATTATTCTCATGTCTATCTCCATTTCCCGGCGTAATGTATTCTTTGGTCTTCCTCTCCTCCTTCGACCTTGAGGATTCCATATGAGGGCTTGTCTTGTGACGCAGTTGGGTGTTTTCTTCAATGTGTGTCCTATCCACTTCCAGCGCTTCTTCCTGATTTCTTCCTCCACTGGGATCTGATTTGTTCTCTTCCACAGTAGGTTGTTGCCTATGGTGTTCGGCCAGCGGATCTGAAGTATTTTGCGTAGACAACTGTTAATAAACACCTGTATCTTCTGGATGATGGATTTCGTAGTTTTCCAGGTTTCGGCCCCATACATTAGAACTGTCTCGACATTTGTATTGAAAATTCCGGCTTTGGTGTTGGTTGCCAATTGTTTTGAGTTCCAGATGTTGTTCAGTTGTAAATATGCTGCTCTTGCTTTTCCGATCCGTGCCTTCACATCTGCATCAGATCCACCGTGTTCATCAATGATACTGCCCAAATATGTAAAGGTTTTTACATCTTCCAAATCTTCTCCGTCAATTGTGATTGGATTGGTACATGCTGTGTTGTATCGGAGAATCTTGCTTTTCCCTTTGCGTATGTCGAGACCTACTGCTGCTACACTGGTCGTCTTCTGCATTTGTTGTTGTGTGTGCGATAGAAGAGCCAGATCATCTGCGAAGTCTAGATCGTCCAGCTTCATCCTGGCTGTCCACTGTATCTCATGCTTCTCCCAGATGTTGATCCAGTCGGTCAGCAGGAGGAAGAGTGAGATTGAGCAACCTTGCCTGACACCGGTCTTTACTTCTAAAGAGTTTGTCAACTGGCCTACATGCACGGCTGGTATTGATTGCTGTCTTCTTGTTCTTCCTTTCTTGAATCTTATCCAGTGTATCGACCGTGATCCAATCCTTGTGATGGTGCTTCTTGTGGTTCAGAACCTCATGACATGTTGAAGTGATTGCCTCTTTTATCTCTTTCCAGTTGCTCTCCATAGTAGTTCCCTCTCCATTGAGTAGATAATGAAAGGCCTGGGTCTTATTGCTGAGGACTATCTTGAATTTGTTGAGTTTGTCAGTATTCCGAAGAAAAACCGTATTGAACTTTTGTGGTGTTGTCCGTCCCGTTGTCCAGTGCTTCTTGAGTTTCAATTTCATCTTGACGACCAGCAAGTGATGATCTGATGCTATATCGGCTACTCTCTTGGTTCTCACATCCTCCATCGTCCTCCTGAACTTTTTGTTGATGCAGATATGGTCAATTTGGTTTTGCGTAGTGTGATCCGGTGAAGTCCATGTGGTTTTGTTTATGCGTTTATGTGGGAATATAGTGCTGCCTATGACCAGTTTATTGAAGGCACATAGGTTTGCTAATCTCTCACCATTTTCGTTCCTTTTTCCCAGTCCGTGTCGTCCCACGATGTCTTCATATCCAGTATTGTCCATTCCAACCTTGGCATTTAAATCTCCCATCAAAATGGTTAGGTCCTTTGTTAGGCACTTCTCGACGATTGACTGTAGCCTATCGTAGAATTGATTTTTAACGTTTTTTTGGTGAGTTAGTTCTCTACGGGATGGGTTTGTTAGATCCATGCCCAACTCTGTTCGTTTGTCCGGGCTTTGGACCGGCAGTGGCCCCAGAATCGCTCTAGGCGAAGTTTGGTGGAGAATAAGATAAGCCTTATTTGGTTCAATTTACAGGCGTGTCCTTGATGTTTCACAGCTAAATGCACTCAGTAATTGTGGTAGTTACCTCTTTAGTTGATCGGGACTGCATCTTAACTAGACCGTATCCTTTTCTTAATAACGAGAACGACTACCGATATGTTACAGTTGTGTGTCAAAATACGGAGTTATTGATATTATGGACTTCCGTAAATCACAATCCTAAATTTATTTAGTTCAGACAAATCGAGTCACAACATTTAGGAAAAATGTCAGTCAAGTTGAAGACAGTTAGGTCATGCTAAAGAAACGAGTACTTGGTTGGACAATTACCTGGGAATTCGGTAACATCGGTGAACACTAGGGCTTTTAGACGAAATAGGTTTTATAAATTCTATTTTTTCGCTTCGTGTTAGACTACACCGATGATAAATTCTTTAAGTTTTCAATTTCAACACGGGTAACAATAAGTACTTTTGAAATCTTGAAAATTTATTTAATGACGCTGATTTCTTCCTAGGTTGTCCTGTACCACCATATACCCATAGTAGTAATGTGGGGCCGAGTGGATTTTATTCTGTACCACCACAACATTACACGCCTCATCAACATAGTGGTCATTCTTGGTCTGGTTATTCTAATTCTGTTCCTTCACAAGTTCCATCCTATCCACAATCACAGCAACATACACACCACCAGTCTCCTCAATGCAGTACGGGTGCTTCTTATCCTATTCCCCAAATATCAACAAAACCAGATCAAACTGCAGCAACCATCCCTACGGATAATTCAACTAGCGTTGGTGCCTCTGGAGGTTCTAATAGTCGACCATCATCTACAAATGACAAATGACTGTTTTTATGTTAATTTTAAAGTCCTATTATATGTTTTAATATTTTGTTTTTAGTAGTGTAAACCATATTTCCTAAACGCCCAATATTATTTTTAAAACTCAGTGTCAGTGATTAGTTTGCCGTACCATCGATTACTGATCTTTGCCCATGATAACGTCAGGTCGACTAAACGTTTCTGCAATTGATAGTCAACATTTTGCTTCATTTCTTTATGATGTAAGTACTAATCAAAATAGTCAAAACTGTAAACATATATATATATATATATATATATATATATTGATATGTCGCGACGACTCAATTTAACTCTATTGCTTGGGATACTTGTTATTTTAGGTTTAGCTGTACGAAGCTTATCGATTCGATAACGATAAAAAAAACGATGTAAGTTGTACTAAGACAGTACGAAACCCTTATCTAAATATTGTTTGTACCAATTTCATAGTATATAGTGTTTGTATGTTATCGACTGCTTAGTGACTCAACATTAGGATACGTATTCTTGGTGTATATAATGTCATTAAGACTGTATATTATGCTACCTTAATACCAGTCACCCGGATACTTCATTATTAGTCTTAAGTTATACAAAAGAATAGTATTGAAATCTAGAAGTGAAAGCGCACACTTAATATTCAAATTTTCTTCACCTTGGGAAAGTAAAAACTCAGTTATCTCATATTCGTCACAATAAACAACTTCATTATTAATGAACGTGGCAAGACTAGTAAACAACTGAGCTACGCCAAGGTGTACGGCCATTACGGAAACACCAGTATTAACATCCTGGCATATTCTAATTTTATGTACTATTTTAATAAGTAGACCATAGCTATTTTGAAAACGCTGTTTGTTAGACCCGACGGGACCTCTTATTACTTTGAGTTTTTTACTTTATGTATGAGATCAGTCCGTGATATAAATTACAGGCGTTCAATTGTTATAATTACACACCCTACTTGTGCTGGTTTCGACAGATTGGTATGTGTCTGCCATGTGAATTATGACTGAGGACAGCATAAGCCGGTTCGTCACCGTTGGTTCACTGAAGTGAGTCATAGTCACCTTTTGTGACGAGATTCGTTATTAGTTGTTTGGCTAAAATTCATGTTGTGTTAAGGTCATAATACCAGTCTGCTACCACAACGTTGATTCTCACTAGCGTTAACTTGTGATTCAAAAATTCTCACTTTGTTAGAACTTGAAAGATGAATCTAAAAATTAGCAGTGAAGTTGTTCCTTATCCCAGTTAACATCAACGGTTGGATTAAAATCCACTGTGGTGACCGAATAATACTTGCGCGTGGCGTATGTTTACGGGGAGTGATCTCCATTTCTATGTTAGAATGACTAATCTAGTGCTGAAATGCCTACGAAAACAGAGAGGGTTACGTGTCAACTGAAGTCAATGAAAAATATTAAAATGAAAGCAGTTGTATGAAGGACCACTGTCCATTCGACGAGTAGGAGAAAGATAAAGAATGAATTTAGAAAATAAAGGTGGTAGCTACAAAGAATATAAGAGTAAAACCATTTGACGAATTTACCGGGTATGAAAAAATCAAGTTGGTCACGGTAAAGTTAGGGCTCTTATGTGTCACTTCTGCACATAGTTCACCTTTAAAACTGGATTACTAACACATTTGCAGTAAGTTTATCCTTCTCTAGGCCCAAATTGTTTGACAACAGGTGGTTTTTAAGAATAAATCCGGTCAGGCAGTGTGACCCGAATTGTATTTCAAAAGATTGTCTCCCGCTGCTAAGTTGTAAATCGGTCCCCCAAATGACCTGGTACAGTCGAGGGTGGGGGTAGTGCGTTCTTCCCCTCGAAATGCTCTCACTGCCTTCTCGCGGCGGGATGTTGTTTACGAAAAGCGAATGTCCCCCGGCTTGGTGGACACGGAGGCTCTGCACATGGGTTGGAAACCCCTAATTACAAACCAATGTTGCACACGGGCTCCCAGTATCCTGAGGGAACAATTTGGGTATAAACCAATTGCCGGTCACCGGGTGCCATGGGGCTGTATCTCCTTACGCCGCTCCACTGCCTTTCGAATTAGATCTTTGGGTCAAAGGCTCCGGGCATGGGCCCCTAGGGGGACTATCTGCTTCGGTCTGGGCGCCCACACAGTATCAGGGCTCACATAAATAAAATGATATGACAATTATTACTGGAGCTACTGTTCTCCTTCCAATTAAAGTTCAGACAATTCACATCCATTTGGTAACTTGTTTTTTCGATATACTACCTCACTTATCTACTCTCTTCTATTCTCACTTTGTGTGTTCTTATTTTTCAACTTATACGGCAGCTCGTCTATTGTAGAAAACCTGTCCTATCTAAACGATCTCGAGTCATTGACCAAATACTTCCACAGAGAACGAATACTGAAACCACGTGCACCATTCAAACTGGGTTCCTTCGACGTTCGCACACTAATGCAGATCGGACAAAAGATAGAGCTGGTTTTGTCCTTAGAAAGTCTTAATACCGACGTCTGTTGTCTATCCAACACCCGTTTTCAAGACCTCAGTGAAGTACTACAAGTTCGCTCCCCATTAGTTGCTTCGAAACTCTTGGTTCAAGTGCGTTTATCCTGGACCTTGTGTTATTTTCGTCTGGTTTTGCTGGCGTTGGTATCGCACGAAGCTCTAGAACTGAGGTAGCACTGATCCATTTGCGCCCCAATAACAGTCGGCTATGTGCTGTTAAATTAGAAAGTTTCACCAAAGTAAGAAGAAATCGGTGTGAGAAACGTTTTTTCGTCATCTCCATCTACGCACCCACAGATTGCAGCACGGACGCGATCAAGGATGAGTTTCGACACCAGTTATTAGTTCTTCTACAGAAAGTAGCCTCGACAGATATCATGGTACTAGCCGGAGATTTGAATGCTCAAGTCGGGTGTGTAGTCTTAGAAGTCGCTTAGGTGGCCAATTAAAACCTGTTGGTCACAGGTCAGATAACAGGGACCATCTACTGCAGTCAGTAACAACGTAGAACTTCGTATGTACGTACATCATTTCGAGTTGCTATACTACATTAGCACAGAGATTCAGTTATCGATTCAAATCCCATAGTGATAGAGGTAGTAAAAGTATAAGCAGTAATCCGAAAGATTAGGGTTTGATGATGTTATTCAAGGAATATGATCCACTAGAATAGATTCGGAAAGAAAATCAGTCAGCTGCAACGTAGGACCAGGCACGTATATGCATCGGTCCAAGTTGCCATACCACATTAGCACAACAAGATGAACACTGGATTCATAGGAGTAGTTAATTCAGTGGTGGTAATATATAGAAGAAGGATTGCATATAAGGAGATAGTACAGGAAGATAGAATTAGTTCGTAGAAAGAAAGATTTGAAGTGATTTTAATCTCTTAGTTTAAAGGAAGACAGAGAGTGAATACACCGACGCCATTGTGATCGATTCTGAGCCATGTCACCAAGAGTCTCCAACCATTGGTTACGATAGTCACGCGGACCCCAACCAAGTAGTCTGAATCTTCCAACATGGCTCAGACCAGAAGTTATTGACTTGAAGCACTGATGCCATGTTTTGGTTTGGCCGCCCCTAACTTTCTTCCAATCATCCCTAACACCAGTTAGCATTGCGCGTCGTTGTTATCAGTGTTCAGGCGTACGCAACACGTGGCCCAACCATCTCAGTCGATGAAGGTTCATAACTTCATCAACTGACTTACCATCATTCCCTAATAACCTTCAACTAACCTCACTATTACTTACCCGGTGATCCCAGCAGATACCCGCAATATTTCTAAGGCATCTGTGGTCAAATACTAGTAACTTACGAGTATCTTCAACACTTAATGGCCATGTTTCGCAGCCGTATAGTAGAACGGAACGAACTGCCGCGCAGTATACTCGTCCCTTAATTGATAGACCTATATCTCGCCTGCGCCATAGGTGACGTAAGTTGGCAAAGGCCAAGCGAGCTTTTCGAATCCGTGCTGAGATTTCGTCAGACACCAACCCATTAGGGCTGATCAGACTTCCAAGATAAGTGAAATTGTCAACGCGTTCGACTACTTCACTCCCTATCCTTAGTTCAGGTGTTGACGCAGACCAATGATGAAAATAGACATAATAGTGTGTTAAAACAAACAAGAAAACATATAACTTGACGAACTATCTAGATGGGAATGACAGGTAGCCCAGATATTAGAGCAGGCCGCCTATGAAGCCCGCTGATTTACTCCATGTGACCGCGAATTTGATCACAACTGACGACTTTTGCGTAGGGACCGAGAATCCTGGTGGTCGGGGCATGCCAATGAGTTGGAAGCAGCGGCTGCATCTGGTAACTGCTGGAAGCTCTTTCAACCCATCCGAACCACTGGCAGCAAGAAGTTTGATATGGGTGAAACAATCGGTGAAGTTGACTGAGTGCCAATCACCGCCTTACCTCCGGCCCCTTTTTAAATATGGTGGTGTCTTTCTGGTTGAGGAGCTGACCGTGTTATTTACAAATGTTGGGAAGCTAAAGAGTGTGTAGTATTATGGTCTGCTATGTTATTAGTACTGCTCTAATAATAGACTTAATCCTTAAATTGTAGATTTGTCATGATGTAGCTGCCTAATCTTTAAGATCTAACGTGGAAGTCACATCATTGTCTACACCAACTCACTTTATCGTAATAATCAACAGTACATGATGGAGAACAAGCTTAGGCCGGAGAAAGAACAATATATTTAATGTGAATAAAAGATATGCTGTAACATTCAGCATCGACGTCCGTGGCCTGGATATGTTTTACGAAAGTCTTCCCAGAAAATTCCCCATCGTGCATTATTTTCTGATTGGTTGGAAAAAGCGGAGAAGTGTTCAGTGCATGACGTGATGTTGTGGCATGAAAGAAAGTTGTACAGGACCGGTTTCTGTTGGTATTTGTATAATTATTATTATTTCAAAACCATAAGCTAATTATATCAGCTTTGCTCCCCTTTTTCTTATATTCAAATTACATTCCCTTTCTCTCCACATTCTCATTGTTATAGTGTGGCGCATATGCATTTGATGACCCTTTGTATTAATATTTATGTGTTCAAATATATAGAAATAAATAAGTTGTATGTCACCTATGTAACCGAACCAGTAATTACATAATGAATTGACAATA